AGTTAAGAGCGTAGTAATTAGTGTTTATAAAAGTCGTGGAACACTGATGTGAGGGTTAATAATAACTTGTCTTAAAGTGGGGGAAATGGTATGTTTTGTATTGTATGAAAATAATGCATATTTCTCTAGGTTCTAGACACAAGGGTGATGTAGAATTTAGGGCTAAGAATTTATCTGTTTAAAGTTGAGTGAACTACAGTCTCAGTAAATAAACCCAGGAAACAGTAAACAATTTACCACTGACCAATGGAAGGAGCTGCATGCTGATACTCAAAGCAAGCATGTTATCATTCCTTTGCTGGAAACCAGTAAGAAAGCAAGGTGATGATGTACTCCCCAGTGAAGCTATAGGAAGGATACAGACTTTTAAACTACTTTTTGAAGCTCCCTTCAAACAGACATAATTCTGAAAAAAAGCCTCATATGTGCATTAAGGAATTAAATTAGTTACATTTATTATAGAGTAGCCATACCAATATCCTTTTAGTTGCTCTGTGAACCATTATTATCTGTCGAAGTATAGTTCTTCATAACCGATTCTATGTAAAAACTGCCGTATTTAGGGCACATGTATGGCTTTTCTGGATACCTGCATTCACCTGTGGAGTGGGGGACATCACAGATTTCTTCTTCACAGACGCACTCTGAGTGAAAGGCCAAACCTTTAGAAAGGTTTTCTGCAGTGTGTCATCTCCTGCAGACATCCAGGAGTAGCTGTGCATAGAAATGTCAGTGGCAAAGGCTAAGCATGTCTCATGAGCAGGACATGGTAGGAAAACGCAGGCACATCAGTGATGGCTGTGAGAAATGAGGAAAAGTGCGGGAACCCCATGGTGTCTGTGACACCTTTCTGTACAAGGGGAAATAAGGGTTTTGGTAAGATTATGCAGTGGTCTGGTTGGAAGTGTTTACAAAGAAGAGAAAATTAAAAGACATGAAAAAGCCTGGCAACCTTATTTATCCTGCCTTACAAGAAATATTCCTTTATATTTATAACCAAATGCTATTTTAACTGAGTAATGGTTTTTAACATTGACCCAATTATCTAAGTACAAAAAGGGACACTGTGGTGCATTTTTCTGGGTGGTAATTAGAAACACTCCCTTCCACCCTAAATGAACCTGCTACAAGGTCCTAGAAACTGCATCTGTCGGTGGCAATGGAATCATTGGTTTCTCTGGTCTACCTTCCTTTATCAAAATGGACGTTTCAAAAACTTTTAAAACATTGTTTACACACAGACACATGCTAAGCTTTTCTTCTACGAGCAAATGTTTTACAGCATATTTCCTAGGGAGGCAAAGGATAGGGCTGAGAGTGCATGTGGCTGAAGGTGCACTCAGCCCGGTCTCGGCCTGCTCTGCAGTCAGCCACTCCTAGGAGGACATACCTGACATTGCACTCCTCATGTGGGGGTCTACTAAATTCAACATGTCCAAAGCAAGATTTGAATTTGTTCTTTGACATCTGCAAAGATTGTCTGCTTTTTTTTTCACGTCTTGGGGGAAAAAAAAATAAAAAAATAGTGGCAGGCAGGGAAATTTCATTTAAAGACCGAGGGGTGGAGGGCAGATGTAGTGGGACAAAATGTAAGTAAAAACATTGCACAATGGGATGAAGGAGACTTAGAGAAAAAGTATGTGTGACGTAGTTCATCTGAATCTGGAATGTTTTTGATGATATACAGTGCATGGAAGGATTAAAAAAGCACAGGCTTATACCAACAAGACCAGTTCCTTGATGAATCTGTTGTTGTACTCTTTTGCCATTAAATGACTCTCAGATAAGGAAAAAAATGAAGAAATCTCATCAATTAAGAGTTTTTTGAGGTGGGCTTCACCTTCCTGCTCATGATGGGGGGCTGCAGCTTATTATGCCAGCTGCTGCACCGCTTGCTTCATGCTCCTTGAGTAACCCATGGGGAGAAATATGCAATTTTAGGGTGTGATTTACTGACCTGTTTAGGTCTTGTGAGGCAGGACAGGGTGAGGGCAGGTCTCAGATTGCTGAACTCAGGGCTGCTTTTAAGAGCAGTGTCACTATACACATTAGATGTTTCAGAGCTTGATTTGAATTTTCACATAGAAATGAGCTTGTGTCACCTGAGATGCTCTAAAGCCACTGGGATGTCCACATGGGCAAGCTGATGTTTCACAGTCCCTGTGGGAGACGCATGCCCCTCTGGAACAGCAGCTGGGATATTCTGGTGTATCTCCAATAGTTCTGAGAACTTACTTGCGGGATACAAGTTCCTGTCAGTACCTGAAGGGGCTACAGGAAAGATGACAAGGGACTTTTTACAAGGGTCTGTAGTGATAGGACAAGAGGTAGGGGCTTTAAACTGAAAGAAGGTGGGTTTAGATTAGATATTACAAAGAAATTCTTTACTACGAGGTGGCGAGGCACTGGAACAGGTTGCCCAGAGAAGTTGTGGATGTCCCATCCCTGGAAGTGCTCAAGTCCAGATTGAATGGGGCTTTAAGCAACCTGGTCTAGTGGGAGGTGTCCCTGTCCATGGTAGGGCATTGGAACTAGATGATCTTTAAGATCTCTTCCAACTCAAACCATTCTGTAATTCTGTAATACTCAGCTGAGTTCTTACTCTTACACCTTATCAGTTGACCTTGATAGAACAAACTATGGGCTGTTGGTAAAAGTAGAGGAATGCCTGAAAGAAAGCGAGAAGTGCTATGTACCAGTGAAGTTTTCTATCTCTGATGGAAATGACCTGCACCATAGTGAGCACTAACATCTACTTGGCTTTGAATCTAACTGACAGGAAGAAATAAAGAGGGACAAAGCAGTGGCCTCCGGGCCTAAAACAAAGTCTTTGCCCTGCCTTTATGGGTTAAATGTGCTACAATGTGGCTGATGGGCTTTAGATGGCTCTCTGTGGCCCTTGGGCTCAGGATAAAAGGGGTGCTTTGGGGAGAGGAATGGCATTTCTGAAGGGTGGCTGTCCCCTGTCACTCCTCTGAAAAGGGACAAGCTGGAGCTCTGTAAGAGATAAAATAAAGTAGTCTGAGAGTCTGGAAAGATTTGGTTTTTTTCTTAATTTCCTTTGGGATTTTTTTAAAGTTTGTTTACACAGAAGAGGTTGCCTGGGAGGAGAGGCACAGGACTGGGACAGTAAAGCAGAGGCTATGGCACTCAGAGGTCTGCAGGGACCAACCTCTCACTGGTTTGCTTTGCTGTGAGTGCCAACAAAAACCGAGCACTGGGGCCTGAGGTGTCTGAGCCATTTGCATCAAAATGAACTGACAGTTCCTCTTGAAATGAGATGTTATGAACTAGTCTGCGGTTTACAACACAGGCATTGGATTGTGTCCTTGATCCTGACAGATGAAACACTGGTTTTCAAACATTTACAAATTTTCAAATGGTGTCCTTGGTCTAAAGTTTAATTCATATCCCAAGTCAATCCCAGGAATACTTTTTCAACCAACAGATTTGCAAGTGGCTGATCTCCTGCATGAGTTTCAAATGCAGAAGACGGGGATAATTTGATGAGAAAATAACATATTTTTAATCCTTCTATAAGAGCTTGGGTGGTGCAACTGCATAGTAAATAATAAATATCAAAATTAAACACTTTTTTCATTATGTCTGTGTAAGTTTTTGACCATTATTTAAAGATCAGAGATACAGAGAAGACAGATTAATAGGTAAAGAGAAAGATCAATAGAGAGAAAAGAGATATAGAAGAATATTATGAGTTCCTTAGTTTTACTAAATTCTTCACATGTACAATACATAACAAATTTCAGGGACAAAATTCCTCTTTTTTTAAGGAGATTTCCCTGAAATAACTCTTTTCATTTTGGGAAAAAAAACCCCAACAACTTAAAATTGATAGTAATCTCAATTATAAAGCATGATATCTTATCTGTAGAAAAGCCAACTCTCTGTTCAAATCAAAGTTTTTATTATATTTAGTATTATGTAGACATTGTATCAGGAACAGTGTGACCAACAGGACCAGGGAAGTGATTCTTCCCCTGTACTCAGTGCTGGCGAGGCCACACCTCGAGTACTGTGTCCACTTCTGGGTCCCTCAGTTCAGGAAGGATATTGAGGTGCTGGAGCAGGTCCAGAGAAGAGCAACGAGGCTGGTGAAGGGACTCGAGCATAAGTCCTATGAGGAGAGGCTGAGGGAATTGGGGTTGCTTAGCCTGGAGAAGAGGAGGCTCAGGGGAGACCTCATCACTCTCTACAACTCCCTGAAAGGAGGCTGTAGCCAGGTAGGGGTTGGTCTCTTCTCCCAGGCAGCTATCAGTAAGACAAGAGGGCATGGTCTTAAGCTCTGCCAGGGGAGGTTTAAGTTAGATATTAGGAAGAAATTCTTTACAGAGAGGATAATCAGACATTGGAATGGGCTGCTCAGGGAAGTGGTGGATTCTTCCTCCCTGGAGGTTTTTAAGATGAGACTGGATGTGGCACTTAGTGCCATGGTCTAGTAACCATGGCGGTAGTGGATCAAGGGTTGGACTTGATGATCTCAGAGGTTCCTTCCAACCTGGCTGATTCTATGATTTTCTTTTGAAGCCTTGCCCATCAGAAGAGCTTGGGTTTGCAGGTCTCCCTGCAGTGCTCGTCATGAGGAGCTGCCTCTGTTGCAATGTGCTGGCCAACTCCTTGAGAAGGCCCTGATGACACTTCTGAGAGGTCAGGCTTTGATTCACATAAAAGGTGATTTGGGGAGCTGAAATGATTTAATCTAGTTTAGCCCGCTTAGGTATCTTGGTTAAATGAATTTTTAGCATAGAGACAGGTGTTTGCTTTGGTCACCCACACTTCTGTGTTGCTAACTCCATCTGAGATACTTAGGTCTCTAGACATCTGTGAGTGGCTCTCAGGTGTGACAGAGGACATGGGAGAGACTCTTGCCACCTGGAGTGGCAAATTAACTCTGCTTTCTATGTTATTCCATTTCTCTTCCTACTGGAGGTACTTTGAAGTCACAAGTCCTTTACGTCGCACAAATCAATCCAGAAAATAACTTCAGAAGAACAATATTTAATGTTTACATATATTAGTGAGGCCAGTGATCACGTTGGCAGGACAGAGGGTGTCCCCAGGAGCACAGAGACATGGCCCTAAATATCTCCAGAGCGGGACAGCTTGGAACAAGCAGATGGCAGCAGTACAGTGCACTTAATTTTCTGTGCTGGAAGTGTGCCAGTGGGTATCTCCGTCTCCTGGTGCTGGCACAGCCCAAATTGGCTTTATCAGAGAGGTGAGAGTCAGGGAGTCAAAGCTAAGGGATGAGGGTAGGGACTGTGAAGAGTTCATAGAGCCCCTCTGCTGGTGAAGGAGTCTCTCTCCACCTGACTACATGTGAATATTTCTAGCTGCCTCCTTGACTCTTTTCCTGGTTTGATGTCTCCTTTATGTGGTAGCACTGTCCAGGCTTCACTGCTGACAATGAACATGAGCTTTTTAAGCCACCTAGCAGGTTTGGATGCACCTAGTGATGATTACAAACTTGGACAAGTCTTATGCTTTATTTTTTACAGAAGGTGCTTTTAAGTTTTATGGGTCAAATTTCCTGCTTCTAGAGGTAAAACTGTGCTCCAAAGTACATATGCTCCTCATCTAGGCAACTTCTTCCCCATTTTTGTATAAAGGAGACATTTATATGAAACATTTTGTATACTACATTGGAGGACAGCACAAACAGTGTGTGTCTGCAATCACTGTGTTCAAATAGCTTACTCCAATGCAGAAATATTAACAACTATGACTGAGAAAACACAAATGTCTCTCTTTGAAAATAGGCTCCAAGTACTTTAAATATATTCAGGTTTTCATAGCTGTGTACATATGTTCAGCACGGGTAAAGATTGATTAAAAGGCTGACTGAGGGAAGACAGTTCATGTCCAAGAATTAACCTTTGAGGAAGTCACTGAAATGATGGGTTTTCTGAAATTTTCCAGTCACGGACTTTAGCTCAAGATCAAGGGCTTGTGCGATTATGCAGATCCTGGTTGGGATAACTGTTACTATAACACTAAAACTGATGCAGTTTGTTGCCATCAGATTATATCTTTTGTTTTTTACTAAGCTGAACATAATTGCTACCTTTATCTTTGGTTATCTTTAGCTAGTCAATTGGTTTGGCCATATGATCTATTCTAGAGCAGCCCTACAGACCTGTGTGGAAGTTAGTGAAATTCCTATGTAGTCTCATGAGGGCAAAATGGTTTTCACCCCTGTGTTAAACCAGATGTTTCTAAACCCTTGCTCCAAACCCTGCTGTCTATATTGACCCAAATGCCCCTCAAAGGCTCCCACATCTCTCAGATACTCCTGAAGAACCGATTTAGAAGTGCACTGGACTTTGTCAAACATGAGAGCAAGCTACTGAATGGCACGAGGGGATTTGGCTCCAGGGTGGCTGAAGGATGCTGAAAGCTGTGTTCTTCAGTTGCCTCTGCAGTGTCTCAAAAACTGCTTGATATATTCTCTGCTCATCCTAATTCAAATCTGTGAGTGCCCAGTTAGCAAGTTAATAGGAATGGACAGGTGAGCCACAGTGGGATTTGGGGAGGATGGGACGTTATTTACATCAGCCAGAGAGTGCCTGCTTCATGCAGTTGATAAATATATACATTAACAACAGTTCCATCTCCCACATACACAAGAGGGCAAGTGGTGATCTTTTATCTGAAGATTGTTGTGCTTAATACGCAAGTCAGGACCAGGTAGAATAACGTTTTTGCCAGTACCTGAGGTTTAGCAGGTATAGTTACAGAGATGAAAATGTGGAGTCTCAGATCTAAATGATCTAGCCCTTTTCCACCCTGACATCTTTTATAAAAAATTCGTTTTGCCCCCAAAAACTCCTGAATATTTTGTTTTTAGTTTGTTGTTCCCCCATAAATACAGTACAGTGCACTATCCTTATTGTATGTGAATCGGCAGCTCGGGGCTTGTCCTGGCATTCCCTGTAGGTCATTCACATCCCAGAAATATTTGTCTGTAAGGCAATGAATGAAAGACAATTAATTAATATTCCAGGGGGATCTTAGGCTTACTGCAAATATCTTGTACAATGAAAAGAAACAATTAAAAGGAAGCAGTAGTGATAAATGAAACTTGAAAGAGATTTTCTTCCATTTTGTAAAATAACAATTTAACTGCTGTTGACCAATTTAAAACATATCTACTTTTTGTCGTTCTCTTACAGATGCTAGGGAAGGTCATTACACTTTATCAAAAAGGCGTCTTGAATAAGAACACAACCATGCAAGTGAGTATGTCAGTATGTCATAGTGCTCTGCTGTTCAGAAATATCTGAGGACCGGGTTATCCCTAACTACAGTGAGATGGAGAGAGAGCAAGTGTGTGTGCAAATAAAATCTGTACTGTCTCTGCTCCCCCGAGGAGCTTGTTCAGGGGCTGTGCACATCTGTTAGCTCATGTACCATTACAGAGCCTGAAAAATAAAATTGGTAGGAATGTAAAGCACTCTGATTTCTTCTATTGCATACCAACCTTTCTTCTCCTCATACATGTGCCACATATGAAACCAGTAAGTCCATTGATGACTTGAATAAAACAAAGAATAGCTTCAATCACACCGATGGCCAGGAGGATAGAGAAAAGAACAATATTCCAAAGGATGATGTTTTCAGGTTCTTTGCAAATACTCCATGTTGTCTGGTTGAACAAGTAATTGTCTCTGTGTTAGAGAAAAATAATTGGCAAGGTATTAGAAAATAAAAACTGCAGAATGCTTTCTGTGTTTTCTGGCATTACATTTTCTGAGCTTGATTGCACAAAGTGAGTCTCAAATTCTACTAGTTGGTAAAAGCTGGTGATTCTCTTCAGAATTCTCTTTGCACAGATGCAACTGATAACTAGGGAATAGAACCACATCTGTACTTTGTTGCATACACAAGAAGATCCTCTTTGTTCTGTGGCTGAATTGTATTAGTTATTTTGTGTTAATAACCAAAGAGAAAGGTCTGTAATGGTTTTAAGATGTGTCTCCATATTCTCCATTCCTGCTGTGGTATCTCAGCCCATCTCTAGCTCTGACTTGAAGAGCATGATTGCCAAGGTTAACTTTAAAGATTCAGAGAAGATTTTTTCTTTGCTTTTCAGAAGTAAGTAGAGCAGGTTCAATTCTTGATGATTTAACAGATTAATGTGGCACAGTAATCAAACATTTCCCTTTGACTCCTTTGGGAGTCCCAGCTCACCAGCATTTTAAAAGCATGATGCAAATTGCACAAGGGGCCCATGACAAGCACAACAGAAGAAACTCAGGCAATTTGCCAAAGGATGATTCCTTGGTCAAAGAGGTGACCAGCTGGAACATGCTATTCAGAGAAATGTGAGTTTAGTCATACACAGGGTGGTCCATCAATTAATTTTGGAAAAATTCAAGTTTGCTATAAAAAGATGGGGGAGAGATCAGGGAAAGCGAAGTTGGAGGAGCCTGTAAGCCATACTCACTTCAGTGTGTCATTCCTGAAAGGGTAGAGGTATTCTCCATCACCTGTGTCACACAGAGGACCCCCAATCAGCCCCAGTGAGGAGATGACCACACAATATGCTCCTCCTGCAAATCCCAGCACAGCCAGAATCACTGACAGCAGCATCTGGAAGGGAAAAGACCTTCAACATTGCATGCACAGAGGTTTGAGTGGCATGGAGAGTGGGAAGATGACTGGGGTTAAAAAATTAGAGGAGACTAAGAATTACAAGATAAAATGCAACTGCTACTCAATGGATGGAACACGGTTGACATGCCCCATGAGAGTTCCCTATACAGCAATAAACACCTGCTATGGGGGATGGAACGGAGCACGGAGCAAAATGGAGATGCTGCGGCCTCCCTCCATAGAAACCCCGGCAGGGAGGGGAGCACAGTGGTACTTTGTAGTTCCTAAGACTGTATGGAACTTCTCAACCAGGGGAGACAGATGAAGATGTTCTGCTGCTGAGCAACAACTGTTGAAATCCCACTTCTTAAATGCCAAAATACGTCCACCTTCCATTAGGCACGAGAAGAGAAGTGAGAGAATTTTACACCAGTAAGAAATAAAAGGATTTATGACTCAAGTCACTCAAGTTCTACCTAAATATAAAGAAATAGTATAAAAGTCAGTTGAGAATAAGGGAAAACTGAGGAAGACTCCACCAAAACTTCTGGGAGGAGTCAACGTGCTGAACCTGTCTACCCCCCTATAGGGACATCTGTTGGGTAAGAATCATACTTCACGTGCATTAAATACTGATATTAGGATTAGAGCTTGCTTTATAGTGTAGCAGATTGTTTCAAACATGTTTTTACAGTCAGATACTATCACTGGTAACCCTCAAACCTTTTTAACCTGTCACAATTTGTATTAATAAAGAGTGTTATTCCATAAACTGTTAGAGTGAGTCCTTTACAGGTGCTAGCAGTTGACGGCAGCAGATAACACATTGGTAAGACCCACTGAGGAGTCTCCATGCTGGTGGCTTAGCCCCCTGAAAAGGGCAGTCAAATTACCCTCTGATCCAGTGAATCTGTTCAGTGAAGGGTCCCCTTGTGGGATGCTGACACACTAGTCAGGTATAAGGGTTTCAGCTTCTCTGGGGCACTGACAGACAAATAAATCACTAAGGGTTGAGAAAATCTCCCCACATTAAGGATTGGATAACCCCCCCCTTTTCAAATGACAGAGAGCTTACACTGAATGGGAAAAAATTCTCTTTATTTGTTTCTTACTATATGCTGAAACTACTACTACTACTTTTTCTACTACTATTAATAATAAATTTGTGGGAACAAAATATAGTTGACTTTTTCTGACTGTTATAGCTATTCTAGATGTTAAAGGACTTCAGACTTTGTTTAGCTTTTAAAAGGTGGCAAGCCCAGAGCTTTACTTATTCAGAGTTTTATACTTGAACTATCAGTTATGAAAAATTTGGTGAGTCTTCTTTCAAAAACCAGTAAGAAGCCAGTCCTGGCTTGATGTGTTCCATATCATGTGCCTTGGCATTTCCAATTCTTCACCTTTCTTGGCCCTTGCACCAACAGAAACTAGAAAGCAACCACCAAACCAGGTATGAAAGTAACAGAAGATGCATTAATTGTTTTTGCGAATTGATGGAATGCAAAAAAGCCTTTCTTGTTGCTACTTTCCTTCATTTTGCAACACCATGACACATGGTAACTGCTGTCATGTTGAGAAATCTAATTGTGCTGTGTGTGGCAACAAACCAGTGGTTGCTTTGGATTGTATGTGATGCACCTATATGTTTTGCATCAGCCACTCCCACAGAAACATTACCTTTCCTCCATTTTGGGGTAGTTTTCTGTTAGTGGATGGGATGCATCTGGTTGCTGTTCGTATATAGAAACAAGAATACTAGGAGCTGCTACTGGTGTTTAATCTGGGACAGGCTTTCCACTAGTCTTGCTAAGAGTCACTGCTTGTGGTTGTTCACAACACTGCCAAGAAAGAGAAAAAAATCTGGAGCAGACTGATAGAGCCAGGTGAAGACCTGGAGCAGGGACAAGGCAGCAAGCTGGCCTGGGAGTCAAGATAGAGACATGGCTGAGGAAGCACACAGGAAATACTTTCATCCATGACTTGGGTTTGAAGCCGAAAATACCTCAGGTCACATTTCCCTGTTGCCAGCAAATACCAGTGAAACCTAACAGTCCACAAGGCAGGTAGAAACCTTCTCCTAGAGCCAGTTGCTCCACAGATCTCTGCATTACATAGTCAAATGAAAATGCCCACCATCCATGTTGGAGATTTGTGACATAGTCTTGAAAAACTATTCACTGTCCAAACATGCTGGTGAATGCAGTTTCCAACTTGCCAGCTGATGACATTACTGCTTTCTGTAGAACCTTGCATGATGCTGGTGTGTGAATTGACTCATTTTGTGTGTTATTTTGCCTCTAAAACAATCCTTGAATTAGAAGTTGCTGAGATTTCATAATCATGGCCGGTCTTCGTGAACGAAGATTTGGGAAAGGTCTTTACCTTTTTTAGGTGAGACATAGTGTGCGCTGAACTGAGCCCACCCTTTAATCCTAAGGTTCATCTGCCAGGGCCGAGTGAGCTTGGACAGTGGCAGCGAGGTCCCCAGGACGTAGGTTTGTTTAGAGTGACCTTCTCTTAGATGGATGGCCTTACAGGGCTGACGAGCTCCATCTGTCCAGAGAAGTTCCCTGACCGGGAATCGAACCCGGGCCGTGGTGGTGAGAGCGCTGCATCCTAACCACTAGACCACCAGGGAACCCTGAGATTTCATAATAATAGCGGATTAATAACTTTTTTTTTTTGTGCAACGCTGGATACTCTTTTTTGTCTTTATCTTCACATTGGCTGAGTTGGCTCTTAGCAGAGCTTCATTGTCAGCAAAATGTGGGTAATTTAGCATATTGTCCCAGACCAAAGGAGTGCCTGGGTTTCAGCTGATGCACTGT